TGCCCCTGAGCATCATTTCTGATGCCGGCCCATCACAAATGTGCTCCTTGATGATCTTCTCAAAGAGTTTCCCCAGGATTGAGGTAAGACTGACGGGCCTATAGTTACCCGGGTCCTCCCTCTTCCCCTTCTTGAAGATGGGGACCACATTTGCTACCTTCCAATCATCTGGCACCTGGCCCAAGCACCACGATCGCTCATAGAGCTGTGCCAGGGGCCCTGCAATAACCCCAGCTAGCTCCCTCAACACCCTGGGGTGGAGAGCATCTGGACCCGCTGACTTGAACGCGTCCAGCCCCTCCAGAAGCTCTCTAACCCGGTCCTGGGTGCACATTCAAGCAATTAATGGTGCAATCAAACAGAAAACCAGCCACAAGGTTGTCCCACAACATTTTTGTGGCTGATTTCTATCGTGCCTTGAACGAGTTGGTGGCAGGGTCCCCACCATTTGGCCTGGTGTTGGCAGCATGGCAGGGCCTGGCCGGCAGCTCTTAGTGCCGGTGGCCACATGGTGCTACACTTTGCTCTTGCCAGGGTGCCATATTGAGGGCAGCTCATCACCCTTGCCAGGGAGCCAGGACGCCTGGGTTCCCTCCCAGCCTTTGACCTTGGACTTAGCTTGACCCTGGTGGAAAAAAAGGTGCTGGACAGTAGCTGTCACAAGGACCTTGGGATCGGGAAGCCTCTCCGGGATTGGGGCGCTGGCACGTCAGGACCTGCACAGATCATGCATGCAGCCGGGCCACCCTCCCAGCAGTCCCTGGGGCCAAGACCCACCACCACAGGCGTGATCCCAGGCTGCCCCTGCTCCGCCCAGAAGGACTTCCCTTCCCATCATGCCAGGAAGGTAGCATACGCAGGGGCCAGGCTCTCCCATCTCCCCCTCGCCATTAGGGACCACTCATCCCACTGCGCCATAAAGGTAATGTATGTGGGGCCAGGCCCCCCCAGCACGGCCAGGAGGTACCTCCCGTCCCACTGCACCACAAAGGTAATGTACGCAGGTGCCCCCCCACTCCGCCAGGAGGGATCTCCCATCCTACTGCGCCATGAAGGTAACGTATGTGGGGTCCAGGGAGAACACCGCCCCCCCCACTACCCCCAAGGCCCAGGCCCCCGGCCCGGGGCAGCCCCCCGCGCTCACTCACCCCGCCGAGCCGCAGCACGTGGACACCAGGGCAGCCGCAGTGGCACCTTCCGTCCCGCACATTCGCCGCGGCCCGGCCGCGAAACGGCGCGCGCGGATGAGGGGACAGCTTTACCTACCCGTGCGGGCGGGTGCAGCGCTTAGGAACGGTCCCCCACCCCGGAAGTGACCGGGCCCCCAGAAGAAGCGGCCGGTTAATCTCCATCCTTGTTTCCATCCGGACACTTATGAGAGCCACCCCACCCACCTCGCGACCACGCGGCCGCTTTGCGCATGCGCGCCAATCTCCGCCCCGCCCGGCTCACGGGGCTGCGGCGGCGCATGCGCGTGAAGGGTCTCGCGAAGCTGTTGCCATGACAGCCGGCGTTTCCGGGCGGTGGCTTCCGGCGGCAGGTAGGGCCGGGGCCTGGCGTTGTATCCCGAGGTCGGACCTTTCCTCCGCTGGTCAAAGAAGCTACAAGTGCGGCTGGATGTAAATAGGTGGGAATGAGGAACACAAAAGGTGGAGCAGGGAAGGGAGCGGGGTAATGAAGAGGGAGACTTTGCAGTGGTAGTAATTCAAGGTAGAAAAGAAGCCGTCTGGGAAAAATGAAATAGCTGGAAATTAGGAAGACAGAGGGCAAAAAAAAAGGGGGAGAAGAGGTAAGGTCTGGAGGGTACCTAGTTGTCATGTGCCATGAATCCAGCGTCTGTCTCGAGTCCATGGTTTTTTTGTATCCAGCAGGTTGATGAAGTGAAGTTCGTAGGCTCGTGTACGAAAGGTGTTTTGTAAGTTCCCTTGTACATAATTACAGTGCACGGTAGTTTTTGAAGCAGCGCATGCACAACCCAAGTTGCTCTTGGGGAGCCTCGCCCGGCTTCTGGGCTGGCTGTCGGCGCTTTCGCCTCAAAGCAAAGAAACAATTCTGTGTGGATGACCCAGTTCTCACTCATTCAGTGGCTGTCAGTGAAGCCTGCTGCTCCCAAGCTCCTTTAGTGTCATATAACTGTGGCCTAGCATAACCGGAAGTCCTGTACTAGAGATGGGGAGAAAAGAAAATTATCAGAGATTAGGTGAACAGCAAGGAAGCGGGCAGCATTTCAGTGGAAATATGTTCACCCTTAATTTTTCTCTGACTTCTGTGTAGTGTATTAATTACAGGCAGTCCTTGACTTAAGACGTTTTGAGTTGCAACGAACAGCACTTATGACTTTTATAAATAGACACCCTGTTTCAGCTTCCTGACGTCAGTTTCGACCTTACGATACTTGATCGGACGCAACGCCATGCCAGCAAACAAGTTCGCTGCGTCACCCATCTCCCTGGAGAACATCTGTCCAAACTTCCTTGGACACTTTCTTTAAGAAAGCAGACAGACTCCAGAAAAACCTGCAGCCAGGACTTCTGAGAAGACTCCAGCCAAGAACCCTTCAAAAAATCCAACCAAGACCCGTTCCAAAAATATAGCAAAGTCACCTCAAAGAAGTTCTTCCAAATCAATAGGATTGCTATTTACAATATAAATACATTAATGTAGCTATATTACTCATCTGTAATTGATTGAGTATAAAATTATGGGTTATTTTTGGTGAAAACAGGATATCGGGCCTTGGTTCAGGAACCAATCCCCCATTTATAACATTGTTTCCTATGGGAAAATCGGTTCCGATTGTGATATTTCAACTTAAGATGCTGTTTTCAGGAAGCAAGTGTGTTGGAAGTCTGAGGACTGCCTGATCTGAACAAGTAGGCAATTGCTGTTTGTTATGGTAAATTAAGAGGAAGGCTGCTCTTGGTGCCTTGTGCCTTTGCATAATTTCCATCCTCTTTGTGCCGACATGGAGCTTGTACGTTATTTTGTGGCCTTGCACTAGGGTTACCATATGTCCAAGTTTTCCTAGACATGGCCTCTTTTTTGAGTCCTCTGATATCTGTCTGGGCGGTTTTTTGAAATAGGAAACAATGTCCAGGATTTTTCTCTGTTCCGCTGGTGGGAGTGGGAGGATGGTGACTGGAGGCAGGGGCAGTGCTGGGGGAAGCTGTCTGGGTCCTGGGGCTGCAGCAGGGCAGAAGAGGCGCCTGCCCCTGTAGTGGGGGAAGGGAACAGGAGGTCCTTTGAGGGTAACGGAGAACACTGTTGCCCTTGCTTGTGGGGCTCGGTGGCCCCAGGAGATGCTGCCTGGGGGAGGGGGTATGTGTCCAGGCTGTCTGGTGCATTTTGCACCAGGGTCAGACTTGCTCCAATGTTGCCTGCATGAATTGGGGCTGCTGCACTCCAGCCCGGTCAGAACGGGCAGCTGGGTGCCCCCTCTTTCAGGACTGGGGGAGCAGGGAGCTGCAGGTCAGGAGTCAGGGGCACTGACAGGGCTGGGGGGAGTAGGGGGCTGTGGGTTGGGAGTGAGGGGCACCGGCAGGGCTGGTGGGGGGGCAGGAGTGTGGGTCGGGAGTGTGGGACTGGCAGCGGCATGGGGCTGCGGCTTGGGAGTGAGTGGCACCAGCATAACTTGGCTTTGGTGGGGGGGTTGGGAGTGAGGGGCACTGGCAGGGCCAGGAGGCTGTGAGTTGGGAGTGAAGTGTCCCCCTGACAGGTGTCTTTTTTGGAACTGCAAATATGGTAACCCTACTTTGTACAGAAGGAGAATTTTCAGGCCTTTTTTTGCCCTTCCAGCTTTTTTGAATCACTTTTTGGATGCCGGACTAATTTGTCTTGAAAGTATGAGCTGGTAGATATACCATAGAATCATAGAAGTAGGGTCAGAAGCGACCTTATAGATCTTCAAGTCCGACCCCCTGCCAGGGCAGGAGAAAAAAAACTGGGCTCAAATGATCCCAGTTAGGTAGGCATCAACCCTCCTCTTAAAGACCCCCAGGGTAGGAGCCAGCACCACTTCCCTTGGAAGTTGGTTCCAAATCCTAGCCGCCCTAACTGTGAAGTAGTGCTTAGATGTCTAATCTAAACCTCCTCTCCAACAACTTGTGGCCGTTATTCCTTGTTATGCCAGGGGGCGCTAGGGGAAAGATAAAATGCTCAAAATAAATTTAGCTTATAAATATTTACTGGAAGACCATAATAGAGAAGACAGAAATGAAAAGATCATAAATATTAAATGTTTCATATATGTATCCTAGATGAGTCTAATCACAGAAGAGTTGGGCTGGAAGGGACCTCCAGTGGTCAGTGAAACAAAACCCTGCTCAAGGCAAGCTCATCCCTACTGAAATCATTCTATTAAGGTCCTTGCCTAACCTATTCCTGAAACTGGGCAGTCACCCCTGTCACACAACTAGAAGGCATATTGCCCCCAAATCTGGAAATTACAGAGATATAGCTACAAAAAGTCACTTACTGGCTATTGATCTACTAAGCTAGAATGTAATTCTGCCTCTTTAGAAAATAAACCGATTATGCTTCACAAATGAAGAAAATTAAGTGTCAGGCAGCTTCTTCAAAGAATGTAATTTCCATAGAGGGTATCAGAATGCATTGGCTTTTTGAAGTTGTTGGAATATATGATTAGATCATTTTTTCCTCCTGTTATATGATGCATATTGAGTTATAACTCTTGTATATGTGTTTTCCCAGGAAGTAATTTTCTAGGTTATACTGTTAGTTTATTTTCATTTGATACCTGAATTTGATGTAGAGGCTTTCATTGTCTAATAAACGTGAGATTAGGAGGGTAGTACAGCTCTGGAACAGGTTACCCACAGAGGTGGTAGAAACTCCATCCTTGAAGGTTTTTAAGACCTGGCTAGACAAAGGTTTGGCTGGGATGATCTAGTTGGGGCTGGTCCTGCTTGGAGCAGGGAGTTGGATTAGATGTGACCTCCTGAGATCTCTGCCAACCCTCATTTTTTATGATTAGCACCTTCAGCAAAGTCTCTTTGGGATTGTTAAACAAGTTTGTTGGCACTTGGGCAGTGTTCATTTATATGTCAGCTGCAGGTTGACTCTGAGCTCAGTCATGCAGTGAAAGTCACTGTGTTTAACTCATGATGTTGGCAAAGAAACAGACATACAAATGATTAAGATGCAGAACAGACAGGTTATAGCTGTTACAAATGTATAAGGCTATATAATAACTGTAGCAAAATTGATTTTAGGTATTCAAAGTGCTGAAAAAAGTTTGGAACGTTTGTTTTCCCTAGAAAATAATATAGGCCCTGTGCTGTTATTGCAAAAGGTAAAGAAAAGTTGCCATTCTATTTCTGATCCAGGGACCCTGAAAAACTGCAGAAATGGCAAAGAGGCTGTATGAGCACCAGTCCTGCTCTAGAGTAGACTAGTGCTTGCAGGACTGTTCTGCAGTTCCACATCATGATATAGGTTTACATGCTTGATTTTTTTTCAGTCTCCCCAAACAAGCCTTCCTGCCTCCGTAGTCTGATCACTCAGGTATTATCCAGCTGAAATCATTAGATTTGTGTCTCAGCCCTGCAATCCTTTACACTTGTGCTTAATTTTTTGCACAGCCAAGGCTTAATTTTTTGCATAGGAATACTGATGTAAAGTTATTTTCCAGATTTTCATGTACCATATTTATTCTAAGATGAAGTTCACCAACTGAAGATGGGGAGGGGGTTGTCTTAGAATCAAGTAAAGGGGGTCAGGCAGCTGCTGTGGCTCCAGCTCCAATAGGGATCTTGGGGTCAGAGCTGTAGTTGCAGCTGCTCCCTGCCCTCCCAACCTCTCCCCCGCTACTTATATACCCCGCTGTCTCTGCTCTGCAGCCTCTTCCCCCACTCCCAACTTCCCCTCCAGCCTCTGCTCCCCTGCGTGCTCTTCTCCCTGCCCTTCTTGCTTTTGCTTTGCACTGGCAGGCTCTGTCCATGCTGCAGCCTGGGGCATTAAGCGTGGCCCCAGCTTGGCCCCATAGCTGGTATGGAGCCTGGGCTGGGGCCATGCCAGTGC